TTTCAGACTCACGTCCTTCCTGTCGCTGCAGGAACCGGAAGTCTGGCTGCACTTACAGGCTAAAAAACAATGTAGAATGAAAACACCTCTTCTCACTGGGTCACACCTTCAACTGATCATTTCCAGGAATTGTTCCAGGAGATCCCACAGCCAGGGGATCAGGGGATTTATGTATAGAAGGAAACAGAGAGCAGCCTTTATGACATTTAAGAAGATGATTAGTAGACATTTTGGATCAGATGTCACAGTTTGTGTCAGATTGATTTCCAGATATCTGATCTTTGACCTGTGCAAATGACATTTGGTGAATGGGATGAACGTTCCTACTTCACCAACTGTGATTATTTTTTTTTTCTATTGTTGCATTATCTCATTTTTTATCGAGGTGAGAGAGTAGTTTGTGTCAGATTGTGTTTTGAAAATAATATGTAGTAGAAGCAGATAACGGTCTCATGTTTGATGAACTGGTCAGTTTGAAAAGTAAGCGTAAACACCCTGATCTTTATTCATATTTTGTTCAAACATTTGTACAGAAAGACGAGTTTTCCTCTTATCTTCACTTCATCAGTGATGTTATGATTCTGCTTGGATCTCTGTCTTGTTGAGAACAGTCTTGTTTACAGCTCAGTCTTGTTTACAGTCTTGTTTACAGCTCAGTATTTAAGTGAGGTGGAGGATGAGAAGAGAAAAAATGTAAGCAGACCAGGGTTGGCCAGTAACTAGACCCTGTAATAAATTGAAAAGGGAGTGCTGGCGATCTGGCATCACAAAGAATGGAAAAAAACGGTTCCTTAGGAATACAAGTGCCATGACACACGTCCAGACACAATGTACCGTAGGTGTTTGTGGCAACAGTCAATGCATGGGAATTAACAATATACTGTAACAAATAGAAGGACATACATTAAGATATAAACACATTTATTTAAAAAAACAACACATTTCATTGAATTGGACAATAATTTGACAATGAGGACACGTGAAATACAATTTATACATTTAGTAAAATGTATACAGTCCCTGTTTTCTGCACACATCACATATGTAAACTACACAGTAGTAAACAGTACTACAAAACAGTACAATACTAACAGCAATAGTTCTGTACCTGTAGAACCATACAGAGGAGAACTGGAACAGTGGTTTTTTCCCTCATTTGATCAGAACATTAGAGAAGAAGGTTCTGGTCTGGTTCCTGCTGGTTTCTCTCAGAGTGTCAGTCAAAGTCTCTTTAACTGTTTTCCTGTCTGATCTGGTGAAGTTGGTTTTCAGCTTGAGAAGAGCAGAGATGTGTTTCTCACTGAGAGAGAGAGAGAAAGAGAGAGAGAGAGGGAAAGTGTTTTATTACAAACAAATACAGACGACCTCAGAGCCACGGTTCTGTTCAGGTCTCTGTGACCTCTGTGGTGGTGGTTTGTTGTTGAGAACTGAAGGTCTGAAGGTCTGAGTCTCACCTGAGGTCTGGGTAGAGGGTTCCCAGTGAAGCCACCTGCACCTGCACAGCAGGCAGATCCTGGAGTCTCAGAACCTCTGCCAGGGTGAGCAGGATTTCCTGCAGCCAGAGTTGGTCCGAGCCCTGTGGGAGTCGGGTGATTATGTCAGAAAAGGTGTCGGGTTTCACGGTGGAAGGGTTTACATTTTTATGTAATGTTTTTTTTCTCCATATTTCGGTTTCCACTTGGGCTTCCACTGGAGGTATGATAGTAGTGTGACTGCCCCTCCCATTACTGTTGCCACATCAGCTGTAGCAAGGAAGGATTACTCACCATCCCCAGGAAAAATGTGCGTAAGCCCTCGGCGTTTTCCTTCACCTCGTGGTAGGCCTGGTTCTGTTGGTTTCTGTCCTTCAGCTTGACGTCCCCTTTCAGGAGTCGCCTCACGTACTCCACCGTCACCTCCTCCTCAAACTGACTAACCAGCTCCTGCACCGAGTAGAAACATGCACAAATGTAGGCAGTGTTCCAGGATGAACTGCTGTAAAGAAGGACTTTTATACAGATGTCAGAAGAGACTGTAGTAAAGTTTGTTTTGTGGCGTTTACCTGGAGACAGGACTGGTTCAGCCCCTGCAGGTCCTCTGTCTGTCTCTGAAGGCTCAGCAGGAGATTCTTAAACACAGGTTTGCTCAGCCACTCGTTTGTTCCCAGTTTGCGGTACTGAGGCTGAGTCAGACACAGACATGAGTCAGTCAGAAAACACTTCAAGGACGTTTGCTTCACACCTTTTGAACCTTCCTCACCTTGAGAGCCTCGTGCATGGGGGTTAAAAAGTAGCTGTGAGCAGATTTTTTCATCGCTGTCAGAACCTGCAAACATTCTGTCCTGATGTTCTCCTTGAAGAGGTGAGGGTTCTTCTCCAGAACCTCCCTGCAGAAAATGAACATTGGTTTAAAACGTGTTCATCTCAGAGGATGACAGAGGTCTTTCTGATTCTCTCCAGGCAGCTGCAGTTTCTTTATTCCAGTGAAACTCCCAGACTGGACCTGAGTTTTAACTCCCACCTGAACTGTTGGATACATCCCAGGTTGGCCATGATGATGGCTCTGCTGTTGGCCCTGTTCAGCCTCACAACCTCCTCTTGGAAAGATTTGTACCTAAGAATTAGGGACGAAAGAAATCAGGTGATTTCAAAGGTGTCATTTGTTTTTAGGTTGAAAATGTTTTGTTTTTTGTTTTTTGTGTGTGCATGTTATAACAAGTTTTCACATAAAAGTCATTACCGTTACCTTTTCATTAAACTGTCCAGACTGCAGGTGATGCTCCTGGCCTTGTTTATGTCTCCCACCACTGTACACGCTGATTTCACAAGACCATTGATACACTACACACAGATGTAGACTTTTGTTACACACTGTTATCAAAAATAACTACACTCCAGATGAACCACGGCCTTATCTTTACCTGGATGATGTCATAGGCCACGTGACTGACATAGCAGCCCTCCTCCCTCACTGGCTCCTCCCCATTACTCCAATTTTGCTTTGCTTCCCCCAGAACACGGTCAATGTACCTCACCAGCTCATTCTAATAAGAAGAAATAAAGTCTGTCTTTTCATTTCTTGGTTTTGTTGCTTCACATAGAAACAGAGAAGGTAAAATAGTAGTGAAATCTACGGCGTCTGTTTGTGTGAGACAGTGTTTAAAACCTACAGTTTCATTTTACACCAAGTTTATGTTGCTGTTTAAAGACTTGATTTTAAAGACTGGATCGTCAGTTACCTGTTGACTGTTCAGGAACTGTTCCTCCAGAGGTTTTAGTAACTCTTGAGGCAGCAGTTTTCCCAGAACGTCTGCGTTGATCTCAGAGCTCAGCTCTGGTTTTTGTAGGAGACTAAAAAAAAAAACAAATTGATATCATACGTGATACTTGACTGTTAAACTCAGACATCTTTTCTTCAGTGTTCTAGTAACTCAATAACTGGATCTGGACTCACTCTGGATAATATTCATTGACCCAGCGCAGCAGGTAAGCACAGTCCTTGTCCCCCAGACCAAAGTCTGCGATGTTCTTGAGTCCGAAACTAAATGCCTGGTGGAAGAGCTCGGCGTAGGATTGACAGATGTTGTGCTCTGGAGGATAACACGTCTTCACCACGTTCACCACAAAATGCAGGTCGTCCTTCAGCTGCTTACCCATGCAGAAGATGTCTTCCATGATGGAGGACATCCCCCTCTGACCCTCGGAGGACTTCTGTGGGTTGTCCATACGTGCCTTTACCAAACTGAGAACAGTTTTATTGTGGAGTTCTGTCCATCTGCATGGCCTCCAGCATGGTGATGTGCGTGATCTTTGTTTCCAGAGTTGGTCTTGCTGGTGTTCCTGGTGGATGGTTATCACAGCAGACGTCAGACCTTTTACTGATTCTATGTCCAGAGAGAAACTCTGCAGCAGAATCTGTAAGATACGATCCCTCAGAGTGGAGTAGTCCGCAGCCAGGCTTTTTACTTCTGCCTCATGATCTTTGAGCTTCTGCTCTTCTGTATTCTGTCCAAACAGAAGCTCCTCTCGCTCTATCAGCTGCTGACTGGCTTTGGAGAAAAGCTGCTCCTCCAGCATTTGCTCAAAGGTGTGGGGAACTGTGGGGGAAACTGAGGAAGACAAGAAACATTGAAGGTTGGTCACGAGTGATGGTAGGTGTCCACAACAGCCTAACAAAAACGTTAAGGTGTCTTTCCCCCAAAAATGGTCACAGACACACCTGGAGATACTCGGCAGGATTTGAAGAACCTTTTCATGCTTAGTTAACCCTTCAACTGTCATTTGCCATTAAACACAAACTGGATTTATTAAACATCAAAGATGTTCTTCAAAGAACCATTGGTTTCTTTGAAGTCTGTCAGTTCTTGACTGATGCTCAAGAACTGACTGATTCGGGCCTCGAAGCCTGTAGGTGGCAGTAATGCAACAGAATGTCAACTGCCGTTAAACTACAACCAAGACTCTTGAAAGGTTTTCATACAGAAACGATTAAAAAGTTGAAACCTATTTTTTTTTTGATGTGTTTTAACTCCTCACCCATCATCTGCTCCACCTCCTCCTCGCTGCTGGTGGACAGACGTCCGTCAGTGTTCGATGGTAATGTCAGCCCCTCCTGACCTCTGGGACTTCTGAACATCTTCATGAGTCTTCCATTGAACCAGCCCGTTCCCATCGACAGTGCACTCTGTCCAGGCACAGAGTTTCGTGTGAAGCCCTCGGGCTCCGTGGAGCCAGATCGAATTCGCATCCTGGTCCAAAACCTGAATCTAGAAAAAGATGGGACTGTAGAGACAAAGACATAGGTACAAATTAGAACCCTAACATTAGCTCAATGTATTAGCTAATTATGTGTAAAAGGATAAAACGTTTTTGAGCTTTTTCACAACTTTAAACAAAAAATGTATCTCCAAAGATAAATGTCACATAAATTTCATAAAACACTTTCTGCACATATTTTGAATAATTTTCAATAGCGAAGTAAAACAGTTACCCTCTTCTACACATACACGTGTACACACAAGTGGTTATTAAATTAGCAACAGAAAAAAAGAGAAGCTGAAATCACAGCCAAATGAGAGCTGTGTTTAAGATAAAGATGTTTATCTTCACTGCTCAAACACACAGGAGCCGCTCCAGCTCCTCACTGATAAAAAGAACAGATCGTCCAGCCAGCCAAAACATTTTAATTTTAGCAACACAGTCGATAAATATGACATGATAAAAATACGATATGATTAAAATATATATTGACCTCTGCGGGTTTAGTGGAGTGCCTTCCTGGAATCCATATACTGATCCAGTACTGTCATATAGTATACAATATACATTTTAAAGGTTTCTACAATCATTTCAATATCTTAAAATGAAGGGGTTAATGTAACATGAAGCCACCGTCTTATTTAAAGAAGCAGTTAACAAGTCCATAACATTTCATGGACCGTTCTTTTAGAATTAAGAACGTAAAAGATCAAGAAAAGGTGAGAGAAAAAAAATCACATTTAGCATTTCTTCATCGTAGCTGACACCCCCGCAGCTGCGAACATGGGGTTAACAGAGTTAAACGTTGAAGTTAACATTTAATGATGGAGTAAAGTGAGAGGGAAGTCTGTTCTTCGTCAGATGTTGGTTCTTCATAGAAACATACTGTTTAAATGTGAAGATAAAAACACGTTACTCACCCTGAGCTCCAACTTAACAGTCACAGACAAAAAGCTGCTGCTGCTGCTGCTGCTG